TGTGATGCCAGGACCTACTGCTACATGCTGCCCACCTTTGCCTTCGCTCACAAAGACCGGGATGTACAGGATGAGAGTTATCGCTTGAGTGCAGAGACCCTGCAGCAGGTCAACCGGCTTCTGGCCTGCTACAAGGGCACCCACAACTTCCACAACTTCACTTCACAGAAAGGGCCAAGAGAGCCCAGTGCACGCCGCTACATTCTGGAAATGTACTGTGAGGAGCCCTTTGTACGAGAGGGCCTGGAATTTGCTGTGATCAAGGTGAAGGGCCAGAGCTTCATGATGCATCAGATCCGGAAGATGGTTGGCTTGGTGGTAGCCATTGTGAAGGGTTATGCCCCTGAGAGTGTGCTGGAGCGCAGCTGGGGTGAGGAGAAGGTGGATGTGCCCAAGGCACCAGGGCTTGGTTTAGTCCTGGAGAGGGTGCACTTTGAGAAGTACAATCAGCGCTTTGGCAGCGATGGGCTGCATGAGCCCCTGGACTGGACACAGGAGGAAGGAAAGGTGGCTGCTTTCAAGGAACAATACATCTATCCTACCATTGTCAGCACTGAGCGGGATGAGCGGTCCATGGCCCAGTGGCTTAGCACTCTCCCTATCCACAACTTCAGTGCGACTGCGCTTGGAGCATCTGGTACAGGTGCCAAGGTAGGAGCCTGGTCTATAGTGTGCGTATGTGTACATACTAGGGCTGGATAGACTGGGTAAACACTTGTCTTCAGCCCTAGTTGTAGATAGCAAGTTGAGCCCCAGAGAGTCTCTAAAGTCACACAGCCTCTGGAGGAATGGGGGTTATGTCGTTACTGGGCTTACCTCCAGCTCCTGCCCCACCCTGTGGCTGAAGCAGTAGTTGTCCTAGGATACCCCAACTGTCCTCTAGGCAAGGCTTGCTTGGCTGGCATTGGGCTGAAGCTGCTGAGCAGCAGGCTGCTCGTTCAGTTGCAGTCTGTTTCTGTGCCTCCAATGGCCTTCCCTCAGCTCAAGCACTTGGCACTGTACCCAGGATTCTCCCCATGCCTACAAGTTGGGTCTCACAGTCCTTTACCTATCTGACCCCGTTTCCTACAGGTCCCCAGTTCCCTGGAGGGCAGCGACGGGGATGGAGACACTGACTGAAGCTACAGCTGCGCCACTGCTGTGAGGGCTGAGGCTGGAGTCTCTCAGGACATGGAAGCCAAGAATGCTGGGCCAGCTTGTGGATTTAGCCTGGCTTCATAACCTCAGGATATTAAATTCTCATTCTAGGAATCAGCTGCCTCTTAGCCCATGCATTGTGTATATACACCTTAGCATGAAAGGACACTTTTTTTAAAAAAAAAAGAGTGATTTTTTTCCTATTAAATATGTTTTGCTTAGTGAATTATTCTTTTTCTATTTTCAATTATTCTTTATTGGTTGTAAGATGATTGGGACACTGCTGTTAGGGACAGCTGAAGGGCACATAGGATAGCACGGGGCTGTGGTTGACAGCAGGCAGTAGATGGAGGTCAGTGCAGTGGTATGTCCTGCCACCAGCAGTGTCCTGCCACCAGCAGTGTGCTCCCAATGGCTACTCATACCCTCATTTTCTATCCTGTTTTGAAGTGGCTACCTTGGTAATGTGAGCTCTTGGCTGTGATTCCATACTGCTTGTTCTTGGGCTATGGAGAGACCCCCAGGGGGGCTGTGCTTCAGCAGCCTCCTCAGCAGGTGGTGGTTTCCACCTGAGCAGTGGAGCTGTGGAGCTGTGAAATGGAGCTTGGGGTCTTCCATGTTCTGACCTCAGGACACTCTTATCCATTCTGTCCCTGAGACTCTAACACAGATTTGGAAGCCTAACTTCCACCTGGCTGTTCAGAGCTTGGGTTTGGAGCGTATCCCTCCTCACTGCACACTGACTGCCACTACCTCAGCATGAGACTTGGAGTGCCCCCTTTAGCCCAGTGGAATCCTTCCAGAACATCCTTACATTTTTTGCAGATTCAGCCCTTAGACCTGTTATGGCGGTTGGATGCTAAAAAGAAATCCCACACTAGCTCAGAATTGAGAAATAGTCATTTATTAAGGGGTAAACTCACAAATCAGAATCCTCCGGTTGACTGGTTGAATCACGGCGATCCAAAAGAGCAGCTGGCGGGAATGGAGCAAGGGGAACTAGAGAGAAGGGCTTCCCAGTAGGTGGTTAAATACAAGCTGTAGTACTTCCTACAGCATAGACCTGCACAGATGTCTTCATCCCACAGCCCGAGTTTTTCATTTGTTTGGAATGGCAAGCAAGCAGTTATATAGTTCACGGTGAGATGAGATGTCTTAACAGTTGAGAGTATTTTTTCTTGCAGAGGACCTGGGTTCCCAGCACCCAGATAGTGGCTCACAACTCTCTAACTCCAGTTCCAGAGGATCCAACAGGCAGGCAGGCAAAACATTTCTACACAAAGAATAAAATAGAGAAATCTAAAAAAGTTTTTAGAAAATTTATTTTAGGGGTTGGTGAGATGACTCAGCAGTTACAGCTTCTGCTGTCCTTGCAGAGAACCCATGTTCAATTCCCAGCACCCCTGTTGGTTGAGCAGCCATATTTGCCTCTACCTTTAGCTCCAGACAATTTAGTCCATGTTCTGGTCTCTGATGGCACTGCATTCATGTACTCATACTCACACATAAGACACACATATACAACCTAATTTAAGAGGTAGGCAGATCTCTGAGTGTGAGGCCAGCCTGGTTTACAGAGTGAGTTCCAGGACAGTCAGGGCTACAGATAAACCCTGTCTGGAAAAAGCAAACAATATATATATATATATATATATATATATATATATATATGCAAGTTCCCTGATTGTGTGTGTGTATGTGTGTATATACATGTAAGTTCCCTGATGTGAGTGCTAGGAACCTAACTCTGGTCTTCTGCAAGAGCAGTAGTGCTCGGTCGGTCCCCTTTGTTAGGTTTTTAAATTATTCTATTATTTATTTGTTTGTGTGTATGCCATATGTATGTGAATGCCGATGGAGGCCAGAAGAGGGGGGTCAGAGCTCTTGGAGCTTGTTACAAATGGTTGTGGACCACCTGATGTGGGTTATGGGCACGGAATTCAGGTCCTGAAGAGCCCCAAATGCTCTTAACTGATAAGCCATTTTTTCAGCTGCCATATATATATATATATATATATATATATATATATATATATATATCTTTTTCAAACCAGTTTTAGTACTTGGAGTAAGGAGTAGATAAACAAATGAGTACTGAGTGAATGAATGAATGAATGTTCATAGAGACGAAACATTTCCTAAAATAACTTTCACCAATAGACAAAAAAAAACAATGTAAATATGACCCTTCAGTGTAAAAAATTATAACTATGACATCTTAAACTGACTCCTACTTGATTAAAACTTGTTTCTGCAAAGTAACTCCTATCAATGAAGGGGAGAAGGAAGGGTTTTTAGATGGAAAGGATTGAGTGTGCTTGAGTACCTCTGGATTTCTTAATTAGCTTTAATACTGTAGTAATGGCTCCAGTTGTCAATATGACCAGGGCTCATTCGGACTGCACTCAATGGGGGGCTGAGGGCATGCATGTATATTTTGATCACAGTCACCTTCCTTTTCCCTTCCCTCCTACAGCTCCCTCTGGACCCTTTCCTTCTAACACATTTCCCACATGTTTTTATGAGACAGGGTCTTATGTATTCCAGGACAGCCTCGAACATGCTGTGTGGATGAGCTAGCCCTGAATCCCAGATCTTCCTGCTTTAGACTCAAGTGCTAGCATTACACTTCAGTGGTTCTAAGCTTCCTAAGCTGAGACCCTTTCATACAGTTCTTTATGTGGTGGTGATCCCAACCATAACATTATTTTCATTGCTGCTTCATAACTGTAATTTTGCTACTTTTATGAATCATAATGTAAATATCTGATATACAAAATATCTTATGCTACTCCAAAGGGGTAGCTACCCACAAGTTGAAAACTACTGGATTACCGACTTGTGCCACCATGCTTTGCTATTTTCTTTTTATTTTTAAAAAAGTGTTTTAAAAATGCAGTCTTTAAAAAAGTGCTGTGTTGGGGCTGCAGAGATGGCTCAGCGATTAGGAGCATAGCCTGCTCTTCCAAAGGTCCTGAGTTCAATTCCCCAGCAACTGCATAGTGGCTCACAACCATCTGTAATGAGGTCTGGTGCCCTCTTCTGGCCTGCAGGCATACACGCAGACAGAATATTGTATACATAATAAATAAATAAGTAAATATTTTTAAAAATGCTGCCTTTTAAAAATAATGTTACTCCACTAGGGAGGCAGAGGCAGGCGGATCTCTGCGAGTCCGAGGCCAGCCTGGTCTACAAAGTGAGCTCCAGAACAGCCAGGGTTGTTACACAGGAGAAACCCTGCTTAAAGGATCCCCCCCCCCCCCCACTTTGCTGGTCCAGGTCGGTCCCAAACTTGCACAGCAATTCTACCTCAGCTTGGTCGTAGTTATCATTTCTCTGCTTTCTAATGTTTCTAGTTTCCACACTTCCGCTCACCTCATTTCAGCTTTCTTTCTATGAACTACAGCGATACTCGTGTTTTAGGCCTTCGGGCTAGTCCCCTGGTCCCCAGAAAGACGTGGCTACGACCTAGAGGACTCGATTACGTCCGCCGAACTTTTCCTAACCAGGCAGCGTAACTGGGGGGTTGGGAAGGGAGGGGAAGAGGGAGGAAGACATCAGGCTCTGCCCCTCTCGGACAAGGCCACGCCCCGGCCCGCAGGCACCTGCTTGCGCGCACTCTCCTCCTCGTAAGGACCAAGCGGTCGCAAGTCGCGTGGCTGAGGCCATCAGAGGCGACTCTGGGGGAGTCCTCAGCTCTCTGGATTCCGCCCCAGACCCGTCCAACGCGCAGCCTGGATACAGCCCCGCCCCTTGCCTCCGCCAACGGGAGCGTTTTAACTTCAGGCGACCTCGCACGGCTGTGACGGGCGTTGCAGGACAGGTGCTGCTAGTCCCTCTCCGCTTGCCGTAGCCCCGGCGCCGCTGCTTCCTGCGCCGGTGGACCCGGATACGTCGAGCGGCTGCGGCGCGCTCGAGCCTGCGGGCTGTCCGGACGCGGCGGAGCGGAGCTCGAGGTGTAGGGTGACCTGAACGGCGACAGCGGGGTGAGAGGCCGGGCTGTAGGCAGCTGGCGGAGGTGGCGTGCCGGGCGGTCGCCTTCAGCGGTGCTGCTGCGTGCGCTCGTCAGGCCCAGGCCGCGGCGGTGCTTTGTCGTGGGCGGGCGGGGCCGCGGGGCCGAGCGGCGCGGAGAGGTACCGGTGGTCGGGCTTGGCGCTCGTCCGACCTCTGGAAGGCCTTTTCCTCGTCTGCACTCCCGCGAGCCGGGTTCTCGGCAGGCGCGCGGCCTGTGCGGAGCGGTCGGGAAGGCGGGGCTCTTAACGCCCGCCTCACCGTTGGTCTGCGGTGCTCGGCTTTCGAGGCGCAGAGCTGGGACCTAAGGTAGAGCGGAAAGAGCGCCAGGGACCGGGGAGATTGCCGGGCCGGGTCCCCGAGGTACACCATCAGCCTCCGGGCCTCTGTCTCCGCAGGTCTGTCCCCAGATCTAGTATCTGGGAGCACCACGACTTTTGGGGGTTGCGCTCATCCCTGGCAGGATGTTTGCGTTCTGTGAATTCTGGATTTTACGCGTGACAAAACGGTTCTTTTTTCTTTCTTTCTTTCTTTTTTTTAAGACAGTATTACCACGTAGCTCTGGCTGGCCTTTATACTTGCTATTTAGACCAGGCTGTCCTTGAGCTCACAAAGATCCGTGGTTCTTGTACATTTTTTGTTTGTGGCATTTGTACGCTATGAATGTTCTGGAAACTTTAAATTTTCTGTTTACATATTTAGATTTTCTGAGAAAAAGTCTCATGGAAGTCCGAGTTAGTCTGTATGGAACTCGCTAAGTAGCCCTATCTGGCCTGTTAGAAGTCCAGCTGACTGCCACAGTACTGGCGATATAGGTGTGAGCCATCATACCCGGCTGTTATACTTACTTTTTTTTTCGAGGTGAACCTTACTTTTGTGTCCCAGGCGGGCCTCTGACCGACCCTGGGCTCAGGTTATCTTCCTACCTCAGTCTCCCTCTCTGGTTTTTCGAGACATGATTTCTCTGTGTAGCATTGACTGACCTGGAACTCGCTCTGTAGACCATGCTGGCCTCGAACTTACAGAGATCCGCCTGTCTCTTTTCAAGTGCTAGAATTAAAGGCTTGCGCCAGGACCGCCCGGCTCCTACCTCAGTCTCGTGAGTAGCTGGGAGTGTAGGTACCTGCCGCAGTGCCCAGTTCGGGTCCCCCCCCCCCTTCATTTTTTATTTTTTAAAGGCATGGTCTCATTGAGTAGTTCTGGGTGGCCTGGAACAGGTGGGCCTCTATCTTAGAGATCTGCCTGCCTTTGCTACCTGACTTGTAATGGATTAAAGGTGTACTCCCCCCATGTTTATAACTCAGACAGTTTAATACCCAAAGTGTCTTTATTGTCCCTTGTTCTGTTCTTCTAACTTTAAAAAATGGTTGGGATTGATTATGTAAAGCTTTGTGTCTTAAACTGTGGAGGTACCATGATCGTTCAATTGTACAATAGCTGCCTCATAATATTGCTTGGTACTGTTGTCCCAGTGAGGCATTTGTTGATGTTGTGACCTCTGTTTTTGGTTGTTCTTTGTGACCCACTCACGGAGTGAGTTGTTTTCTGGCTGCCTTATTCTTATCTACCTAGTAACCTTTCCTTGTCTTAGTGCTCCCCTCCAGTTGACCTTTTAAGTTCTTAGCTACCTTGTATTCCAGGGTGGGAGAGAATTTTTGTGTGCTTCCTGTCACCATTTGCTTCTTTTTCTCTGTAGCACCTTTCCTTGGGCTTTTGGGCATCTCCTCCCCACTGATTAGGTACCGCTGTTTCTGAAGTCTTTGATCTGGTTGTCCGTGGACCTTTTTTTCTTTCTCTTTCTTTCTTTCTTTTTTTTTTTTTAATTTGTGTGTGTTCATGTGTATGCAGAGACAAGAGAGTATCTGATTTTTTGGTGCTTGTGAGCTACCCAATGTTGGTGCTGGAATTCAAACTCTGATCCTCTGGAAGAGCATCATGTACTCTTGATCCCTGAGCTGTCTCTTCAGCTCCTCTCCCCAGACAGGGTTTCTCTGTGTAGCTTCAGATCCTGTCCTGGAACTTGCTGTGTAGACTAGGCTGGCCTTGCACTCACAGAGATCTGCCTGCCTGTGCCTCCTCGAGTGCTGGGATTAAAGGCGTGCGCCACCACTGCCTGACTTTCTTTGACCCTTTTTATTTTATGTGTATAGGTGTTTTGCTTACATGTATATCTCTGTACCTCTTGATTGCCTGGTATCCACAGAGGCTAGAAGAGGGAATCATTTACCTTGGACCTGGAGTTACAGAGGATTGTAAGTCACCATGGTGGTGATGGGAATTGAACCTAGGTCCTCTGGAAGAGCTGCCAGTGCTCTTAACTGCTGAGCCATCTGTCCAGCTCCTGTCCATGAGTTTCTTGAGATTGTTAAAAAGCAAACAAGTGAAAATATTGTCTTTTTTTTTTCCAGTTCATTAGCAATGGCTGTCCTTGAATAATATGTAGACCTGTCTGGGCTTGAACTCGTGATTCTTCTGCTTCTGTCTTCTTAATGTTTCTATTGTAGGCTTGTGCCACCATACTTGGCTGAAAGCATCATTTTTATTTTTATTTTTAATTTTTTAGTTTTTCGAGACAGGGTTTCTCTGTAGCTTTGGAGCCTGTCCTGGCACTAGCTCTTGTAGACCAGGCTGGCCTCGAACTCACAGAGATCCGCCTGCCTCTGCCTCTCGAGTGCTGGGATTAAAGGTGTGCGCCACCACCGCCTGACAAGCATCATTTTTAATAATATAAAAGATTAAACAGTCTTTCTGAATGTGTAGGTACTGAGGATCAATCTGAGGGTCCTACTCATGCTAAGCAAACACTCAATTATTAAGTAATATCCCTAACCCTTATGCTTAAACATTGAATGTTGTTTTATAATACCTGTAGGTAGAGCTAATTAGTTTTTGGTGTCTGTCAAATGACTTATTTGGGAATGGAAAGGGTTCTTGAGCATTGGGGTTCTCAGTGAAGGTACCTACATTTGTGTGAAAGAGAATTTTGAAATGTAAGGGTACTTTGTTGGGAGAGAGTAGAGTACGTTGTGTGTGGCTGGATCTCAGTGATTGGGTGATACAAGGCCGTTTTAGTCTAGATGCCACTGCTCTGCTTCTGGGACTTGATCTGCATCTGGGTTCTGACTCTCACTGAGTTTTCTCACTGAGTGTGCGCTCTCTTGTATATATGTGTGGATGCTCATGTGGTGGTTAGAGGTGGTCTAGTGTTGGTTTTGCCTTCTACTTGTTTGAAATAGGGTGTTTTCAAACCTATGTATACCAGGCTAGGTGGCCTGGGACCTGGACATTTTCCTGTCTCTGTTTCCCATTTCAGTGTAGGAGCCTGGGGATTACAGACAAGCTCTACCGTGTCCTTCTTTTACATGGGTCTTGGGACTTGAAAGTCAGGTCCTCTTGTTTGTGCAGCAAGTACTTTACCTACTAAACTATCTCCCTAACCCGAAATCCTCTCAAATCCTGCTACTGCTCAGTTACAACTTTATTGTTTTTGGGAATTACAAAATTGAATTTCCTTCAGGAATACATTTTCTGGATTTCTATTTTATGTTTTCTACATTTAGTGTAGAACTCTAGCTGGTAAAAATGTTTAATTATTTGATACATGCATTTTGATGAGTTTGGGTTTTTTTTTTTTTTTTTTTTTTTTGGTTTTTCGAGACAGGGTTTCTCTGTGGTTTTGGAGCCTGTCCTGGAACTAGCTCTGTAGACCAGGCTGGTCTCGAACTCACAGAGATCCGCCTGCCTCTGCCTCCCGAGTGCTGGGATTAAAGGCGTGCGCCACCACCGCCCGGCGAGTTTGGGTTTTCTTAATGTGTCTTTATAACTTTATCTGTGTCTTTCTGCTGGTTTGTGACTTGTTTTCCTTTGTTCCTGAAGCTGGGGCACTCTCTTTGGAGCTGCCTTGCATTCACAGCCACTTTGCTCTGGCCTCCTGATAGCTGGGATCATGGGCATGGTCCCACATCCAGATTATGGATTCCTGTACGTGGAGGAACTTCTTTCTGCTCCTTTGTTTTGTTATTTTGACATTCTGAGATTTTGTTTTGTTCTTTTTTTTCCTTCTTTTAATTTGATGTGCATTGATGTTTTGTCAAGGATGTCGGGACAGTTGTGAGCTGCCATGTGGATGCTGGGAATTAAACCTGGGTCCTCTGAAAGAACAACCAGAATCAAGTGTTTTTTTATACATTTTTTATTTTATTTTATTTTATTTTATTTTTTAGTTTTTCGAAACAGGGTTTCTCTGTAGCTTTGGAGCCTGTCCTGGCACTAGCTCTTGTAGACCAGGCTGGCCTCGAACTCACAGAGATCCGCCTGCCTCTGCCTCCCGAGTGCTGGGATTAAAGGCGTGCGCCACCACCGCCCGGCTATTTTTTTATATTTTTTACATTTGATATTTATTGAGCTCTACATTTTTCTCTGCTCCCCTCCCTGTCTCTACCCCCAAATCCTCCCCCAAGGTCCCCATGCTCCCAATTTACTGAGGAGATCTTGTCTTTTTCTACTTTCTACTTCCCATGTAGATTAGATCTATGTAAGTCTCTCTTAGTGTCCTCATTGTTGTCTAAGTTCTCTGGGATTGTGGTTTGTAGACTGGCTTTCTTTGCTTTATGTTTAAAAACTACCTATGAGTGAGTACATGTGATAATCATATTTCTGTGTCTGGGTTACCTCACACAAAATAATGTTTTCTAGCTCCATCCATTTTCCTGCAAAATTCAAGCTGTCATTATTTTTTTCTGCTGTGTAGTACTCCATTGTGTAAATGTACCACATTTTTCTAATCCATTCTTCGGTTGAGGGGCATTTAGGTTGTTTCCAGGTTCTGGCTACGACAAACAATGCTGCTATGAACATAGTTGGGCACATGTCCTTGTGGCACGATTGAGCATCCTTTGAATATATACCCAAAAGTGGTATTACTGGGTCTTGAGGAAGGTTGTTTCCTAATTTTCTGGGAAATCACCTCACTGACATCCAAAGGGGTTGTACCAGCTTGCATTCCCACCAGCAATGCAGAAGTGTTTCCCTTTCCCCACAACCTCTCCAGCATAAGTTGTCATCAGTGTTTTTGATCTTGGCCATTCTTACAGTTGTAAGATGGAATCTCAGAGTTGTTTTGATTTGCATTTCTCTGATGACTAAGGATGTTGAACATTTCCTTAAGTGTCTTTCAGCCATTTTAGATTCCTCTGTTGAGAGTTCTCTGTTTAGGTCTGTACTCCATTTTTATATTGAATTATGTGATCTTTTGGTGTCCAATTTCTTTGTATATTTTGGAGATCAGACCTCTCTCTGATGTGGGGTTAGTGAAGATCTTTTCCCACTCTGTAGGCTGTCGTTTTGTCTTGTTGACCGTGTCCTTTGCTTTACAGAAGCTTTTCAGTTTCAGGAAGTCCCATTTATTGATTGTTTCTCTCAGTGTCTTTGCTGCTGGGGTTATATTTAGGAAGTGATTCCCTGTGCCAATGCATTCAAGTGTACTTCCCACTTTCTCTTCTATAAGGTTCAGTGTGGCTGGCCTTATATCGAGGTCTTTACTCCATTTGGACTTGAGTTCTGTGCATGGTGATAGATATGGGTATATTTTCATTTTTCTACATGTTGATATTCAGTTATGCCAGCACCACTTGTTAAATATCTTTCTCTCTCTCTCTCTCTCTCTCTCTCTCTCTCTTTTTTGGTTTTTCGAGACAGGGTTAAATATCTTTCTTTTTTCCATTTGATATTTTTTTGCCTCTTTATCAAAGAACAGGTGTTTGAAGATGTGTGGATTGATATCCAGGTCTTCTTTTTTTTTTTTTTTTTAAGAAATTTAACATTCTGCCTCCGTGTATGCCCACATGCCAGAGGAGGGCGCCAGATCTTATTACAGATGTTTGTGAGCCACCATGTGGTTGCTGGGAATTGAACTCAGGACCTTTGGAAGAGAAGCTCTTAACTACTGAGCCATCTCTCCAGCCCCATATCCGGGACTTCTATTCGGTTCCATTGGTTCTCATGTCTGTTCTTATGCCAATACCAGACTGTTTTCAGTATTGCAGCTCTGTAGTAGAGTTTGAAGTCAGGGATTGTGATGCCTCCAGAAGTTCTTTGCAGTCCACCATGGTGGAGAATAGGCAGCTCTGATGGTCTGATACCTAGACTGTGCTTTCCTGCTTTGTCTTCTCGTTTCTTCCGAAGCTTTCTTTCCTCCCCAAGTTTCTTCTGCTCTTTTATCACTGAAGCCTTCTCTGCTTAGCCTTTTTTTTTTTTTTGGTTACACTGTATGTACATGGTTGCCATACATAGTTGACTGGGAGACTGCCACTCACTGAAGGCATGTATAGTCATCACCCGTTGTGCTTTCCTCACCAAGGTAATGACAGTGTTGACTTGAGCTTGAAGGGACTCGTGGTTTCTTAATGGGAACATATTCTTTGCCCTCAGCTTGCTTCTTTGGATCAACAGTATAACTACTCTGGTCTGTTCTTGGGAGGCAGATGTAGTTATTTAGCATATAAGCCCTGGCTAAACTAGTGAATCCCAAGAGCCACTTTGAGCCACTTACAGAGGAGAAAGGTTCTTTGGTACTGTGGTGTAACTAGAGGTTTCTCTTCTACCTTCCATTTCTCAAATAACCATTCTGAGGCCTAATATTAATTACAAACTGTTTGGTCTGTTAGCTTAGGCTTATTACTAACTAGCTCTCTCTCTCTCTCTCTCTTTTTTTTTTTTTTTTTTTTTGGTTTTTCAAGACAGGGTTTCTCTGTAGCTTTGGAACTAGCTCTTGTAAACCAGGCTGGCCTTGAACTCACAGAGATCCTTCTGCCTTTGCCTCCCGAGTGCTGAGATTAAAGGTGTGCGCCACCATCGCCCGGCTCTAACTAGCTTTTATAACTTAAAATTAACCTAAATTAACCCATTTCTTTTATTTTATATTTTTCTACGAGGCTCATGGTTTGTTACCTCACATTTTGTTTCCCCAGTGACTGCTAGCTTTTCGCCTGATTCCACCTTCTTTTTCCCTTTATCTCTGCTTGGATTTCCCACCTGGCTCTATTCTGCCTGGCTGTTGGCGAAATCAGCTTCTTTATTAACCAGTGGTAATAAAACATATTCACAGCATGGAGAAGAGCATCCCACATCACTGTGGCAGAGCTCACAGGGTCATTTACAAAGTAGCCACTGTCCCTTTGGGCTGAATGTGCTGTGTAGTACCATAGTTCTTATTTCATAGTTCTTTCTTAAGTGACTTACCAACTTCTTGGCTTTTTACTTCTATATGAGGCAGGGGCTAGGGCACCCTCCCTCCCTGACCATCTTTCCTTTGGAATCTTGGGTGGAGAAAAGGAGATGGGGAAGGGAGTTCTAAGTTGTAAGTGGCCACCTGTTCTTTTATATAAAGTAATGAAAAGAGCTCTAGTTTGAATCAGACCCATGGTAACATATGTTCAAGTATCATTTCAGTGCTGCTGAGTGGAAATTGTATTAAGTGGTAATCAAATATTGTATTTGCCTTCCAATGTCTTGATTTTAATTTCTATTTTTTCCAGGGGAATATTACATTGGATAGAAAAGGGAGGTGATAATGCACCATGGCAGTGGTTCTCAGAATGTCCAGCATCAGCTACAGAGGTCTAGGTCTTTCACTGGGAGTGAAGAGGAGCAGCCAGCCCATCCTAACTTATCCCCATCGCCTGCAGCGCCTTTCGCTCCATCAGCCAGCCCATCTGCGCCCCAATCCCCTGGGTACCAGATTCAGCAGCTTATGAGCAGAAGTCCTGTGGCTGGGCAAAATGTGAACATCACACTACAGAATGTTGGCTCTGTTGTAGGAGGGAACCAGCAGATTACACTGGCCCCTCTGCCACTGCCCAACCCCACCTCGCCAGGTTTTCAGTTTGGTGCACAGCAGAGGCGCTTTGAGCATGGGTCTCCATCATACATTCAAGTTACTTCTCCCCTGTCACAGCAGGTCCAGACTCAGAGCCCCACACAGCCTAGCCCTGGGCCAGGGCAAGCCCTGCAGAATGTTCGTGCAGGTGCCCCAGGCCCTGGACTGGGCATTTGCAACAGCAGCCCCACTGGAGGCTTTGTGGATGCCAGTGTGCTTGTGAGGCAGATCAGCTTGAGCCCCTCAAGTGGTGGTCACTTTGTATTTCAGGAGGCACCAGGCTTGACCCAGATGACCCAGGGAGCCCAGGTTCAACTCCAGCATTCAGGAGCTCCCATCACTGTCCGAGAACGGAGACTCTCACAACCTCATGCACAGTCAGGAGGCACCATTCACCATCTGGGGCCTCAGAGCCCTGCAGCTGCAGGAGGCACTGGGTTGCAACCTCTTTCCAGCCCGAACCACATCACCACGGCCAGCCTGCCACCCCAGATCAGCAGCATTATTCAGGGCCAGTTGATACAGCAACAGCAGCAGGTGCTTCAGGGGCAGCCACTGAACAGATCTCTGGGGTTTGAAAGGACACCAGGTGTGCTGCTCCCTAGTGTTGGGGGGCCTTCAGCATTTGGGATGACATCCCCACCGCCGCCAACCAGCCCATCCAGAACCACCATGCCTCCAGGCCTTTCCAGTGTGCCTCTCACGTCTATGGGAAGCTCAGGAATGAAGAAGGCTCCCAAGAAGTTGGAGGAGATCCCTCCAGCCTCCCAGGAGATGGCACAAATGAGAAAGCAGTGCCTGGACTACCACTACAAGGAGATGGAGGCACTTAAGGAGATCTTCAAGGAGTACTTAATTGAACTGTTCTTCTTGCAACATCTTCAGGGCAACATGATGGATTTCTTGGCTTTTAAAAAGAAGCATTATGCCCCTTTACAAGCATATCTTAGGCAGAATGATTTGGATATTGAAGAGGAAGAGGAAGAGGAGGAAGAGGAAGAGAAATCTGAAGTTATCAATGATGAGGTAAGACAACAGTTGAGTAGTCTTGAAAGGCTATATATAAAGCAAAATAGATGGTGTGCAACAGTAGACTGAAGGTGTGTGAGTAACGGGGTAATATAGGTTTGAGTGGCATAGGATCCGAAGAGGAATAAAGTGTGTGCTTTTCTTCTTCCTTCATGTAGAGGAAGAGTTAGCTGTCTGTGGGGAAGATGGACTGTTTGTGACTGATGCCTTCTCCGAGTCAGGTGTTGTCACTGAGAACCAGAACCCATCCTGGGCAGAGAGCTCAGCTAGTGCTATCTAGGCTTCTCACTTCTGTGTATGTGGTCCTTGGCCAACATGATACTGTTGGCAGTCCTCTGGCAACCCACAGGAAAGGTTCTCCTGGTTCAGTGAGGCTTAGTTCTTCTCCCCTGTCTTCCTGGTTTCACTATATGTTTATGTAGGTCTGTCCATAAAAACAAGGTTTTTAAACAAGTAAGTCACTAGGTGTATTTTGTGTGGGTTGTTCACAATTTAAGTATAGATAATATCAAACAACTATAAGAAATTTTATTTTTTAGGTTTTAGATGTAGTGTTAGATGTGAGATCTTATTTTAAGCTCACACTTTGAAATCATCTATGGAGTGATACTTGAGACAGAAGCTTTTATAGACAGTTTGTTTTTGGGTTTCTAGAATGCTGCACAGTAAATCCCCCCCTAACAGCACAGCAGTTCCGCAGTTCTCTGAGGTATGCTGGGGTCTTAGTGGCCTGTACTGTGATGCACTGTCTTTTGTACCTTTGTCTTGTGTAGTGTTTATTATGTCGGTGGAACTTATTTTGTTTTATGATAGAGCTAAAATAATTTAAAATGCTGTCAGCCCTTTGGCAATGAAACCTGCTTTTGGTGAGCAAAAGTTTGCCTTTGCTCCAGAGTCCTCACTACATCTGTGGATGTTTCTGTGTGGCTTTGCCATCTGTGTCTTCTTCAACACTGAACGTAGGCTGAACCATTTTTGTTATTTAGAAGGTCTCAATGATTTTGGAGACCACCACTAGTGCCATGGAACAATGAAACTGAGTTTTCTTTGTGTCTGTTACCGATGTTGTCTGTGAGCTGTGCCTCCTTATCTGTACTTTTGAAGAAACACAACCTCCCACAGCTTCTGCTAAAGACAATTTCGCTGTGTGATCAATGTGGTAGGCTACAGAACATTATAGCTGTGCAGATCTTTCAAGAAACCAGCTGTGGGACACTGATACCCGAGTGTCTGCCATTCTCATTTTACAGTTGGAAGTTGCAGAATTTAAAATGTTGCCTGTGATCTAGACTGGAATTCTGAAGATTGGCAGCTGTTAGATTGTTATGCTATGAACCTGTCAGTTAGCTCAGTGTTCCTTTATTGGATTCGATGCAAAAAAACACTCTGTTTTTAAGCACCAAAATTAGTGAGCTGTCAGCAATGAAATTCTAATAATTTTGAGCAGTCTTAAAAATTATGTTACCTTTTTTTCTCAAAATATTTCTCTCAGGTAAAGGTTGTGACAGGCAAGGATGGGCAGACTGGGACTCCTGTTGCTATAGCAACCCAGCTTCCGCCAAATGTTTCTGCTGCTTTTTCATCCCAGCAGCAACTGTTTCAGGTACTCTTTGATGGTTCTAAATTGTAGTCTCATCCCAAACGTTTCTTTCATCCAGATATTTTAACCTTCAATTTACTATTTGCTCTTTGGCATTTTTTTTCCAGAGCCCGTTTCTTATTTTGAACAGTAAAAGTCTTTCTGCATATACAGTTCTGAAATTCTGTTGCATGAATGAATTGACAACACGGACCTTACTGCATTGTTTTCTGTAACCTGCAATGTGGTGGTCGCTTGTAGTGTGCATGTCCTCTAATATTCAAAGTCCTGTTACTGTATGCTTAGGGTTCCTTGTGTGCTGTGTTTAATGTTTGTTCTTTCTTGTGTCTTTTACCTGTATTTTGAAAAATAGTGCAAAACAGAAGTGGAAAAGACATAGTAGGTATTTTCCTTAGCTGGAAGAAATGCTGGTGCGAATCACCTATAGAGTATCAGAACTGAGATTTCTTAGTAGAGGAGAACAGAATGCATTCGTGACCCTGGGATTCACACATAAGCTAAATTCTAGGTACTTTGGAGAGAGTGTGCTGGCTTCTGAAAGCAGTTTTTTTCCTTGGTGATATTTTTGTTTTGTTTTTAATTTTAACAGAATTTTAAACATGAAATTTGCTATAGTCATATATATATTATATATAGTCATACAGGAAGCCCTTGTACCTTTTATGATTCACTGCTGTTTGCATTTCATTCTCGCGATTATGCAGTACCATATGGAATTATGACCCTTATCCCTAAATGGTTCAGCTCGTAGAAAAGAGCAGGTCCTCCAAGTCAGGAAATGCCTATGACTGGAAGTTGAAATTCAGATTCCATCTCTGGTCCTCCAGAGATCCTTTGTAGTTTTTCTCCTAGCCCTGGACCTCATCCAGGAGATCCATATTCCTTACTTGTTATGCCTCTCAAGCTTTCTTTAAGCTAGACTGGCTTCTTGGTCTTTTGTGATGATGATGTTTTGAAGCACACAGACCAGTTATTTTGTGGAATGTTCTATTGTATGGGATTGCTCGACATACCCTATTATCTACCATGTTCAAGTCAGGTAGATGTTGAAGGAATGCTACAGAAGTGACAGTGTGCCCATCTTAATGTAGCTTGTCACCAGGCCATGGTGTTGCCTAGTCCTGACTGGTGATGTTAACTTGAAGCATCTGAGGTGGTGTTCACTAGGTCTGTTCAATAGACATGAATTTCCCTTCTGTAAATGATAAGGATATAATTTTTGTAAATGTCCTCTAACCCATTATTTCAAACATTTCTCTAATGATAAATCACTCTGAATTGGTTACTACTATAAAGACCCACAGTGGATTCCCCCCGTCTCTCCCTTTTCTTCTTTTCTTTTCTTCTTTTTTTTTCTGAGACAGGGTTTCTTTGTGTGACAGCCCTGACTGTCCTGGAACTCGATTTATAGACCAAGCTGGCCTCAAACTCACAGAGATTCTCCTGCCTCTGCTTCCTGAGTACTGGGATTAAAGGCGTGCCTCATCACGTCCACCTTAATCCTTTTGATTTAATTAAATAGTTTGTTTGTTTTTGCCTTTTTCTTCTTCTCTTTCTTTTTGTGGCAGAGCTTTTACTCTACCCCAGGCTTATTTGGAACTTCTGCTGTAGCTCAGGCCGACCTCAAATTTATAGCAGTTCTCTTACCTTTCTCTCCCAAGTGTTGGTAGGATTATAGTTGTGAATCACTAAGACTTGCTGTTTTTTTTATTTTTATTTTTTTAAAGATAAGGTCTTAATGGGCTGGAGAGATGGCTGAGAGGTTAAGAGCACTGACTGCTCTTCCAGAGGATCTGAGTTCAATTCCCAGCACCCACATGGTGGCTCACAGCCATCTGTAATGAGAACTGGTGCCCTCTTCTGGCCTGCAAGCATATATACAGACAAAACACTATACATAATATACATAATAATTTTTTTTGATTTTTCGAGACAGGGTTTCTCTGTAGAATAAATAAATCTTTAAAAAAAAAAAATCCTGGCCCTTTTCCCTCTTCCACATCAGCTCCTAAGTGGGATTTCTCTTTCTCATATTCCTTCTTCATTTATTAGGTATTCACTTCTTGTTACATACATTCATTTTAACCAGTGAGTTACATGACACTTTAAGTGCTTCTTTGGTTGGTTTACTTAACATTTAGTAACATTCACTTTTCTTTGGTCTGTAGTGTGAATGTTGAAAACTATAGAGTTGTGTACTTCCCAACACTGCTAAAAAAAGTTTTGTTTCTGCTGAACAGTCCCTTATGCATTCTTACATATCCTTACCTTTGATGTCCTCTGACAAGTGCTCTTGGAGTACCTTTCTTCTGATTGCTGAATACTGATACTGCTTCCTGATACTTGGTTCATAACTTGTCTTCACAGGTTCCCTGTATTCCAAAAGAAATTAGGAAGTAGAACTTGGTAAAGGGAAGCAGATTTGTTTACAGTTTGGCCAAACTAGAGAAAAGAACTTAATTTTTCTCCATCATGGCTGTGGCAACCTTCATACTTTATTGAATCAAAGGTTGCAAAGTTTGTAGTGAGATGGTTTAACCCATTCTTTCCTAGGAGGAAGGAAGCATACCCAGGTTGTCTTCCTCTCTATCTCACTTCTTGGCAGGCATGCTCCATTCTCAGCATGGAGAATCTGGTATGTTTAAAAATTCCTATTAGGTTGACTTTCTATATGCCACTTGTGCCTGGTGCCTCTGGCATCAGATCTTTTGAAGCTGGAGTTGGATGGTTGTGAGCAGACACCTGTGCTCTCTGCAAACCTTTAAAGCACTAAGAAGTTTCTCTGGCCTCACTATGCTTACAAGTTAGATTGTTGTCTCCTGGTGGTGTCCTCAGAGAGCAGTTTCACCCTTTTGTCTTTGATGGGTAGTAAGGATTTCTGTTTTAGGGATTCCCAAACAAAACTGCTGTAATTGTTTACAGATAACATTTTATGTGTACATTGGTGTTCATTTCATCTACATGAATACCTGTGAGACTCAGTCAGATTATTGGGTCCTCTCTGGAGTGTATGCTCAGTTTTATAGGCGAGGACAAAACCTTTTTTTTCTGTGTGGTTTTGTGTTCTCAGTAATAGTGTGAGAATAGACCTTCTCCAGGCAGTGACAGGTATGAGACAGTTTTCAGCCTGATGATCTTGAGTATCTTTTCTGTGTTTGTTGGAGGTCTTTTTGGTGAAGTGTTAGATATTGCTCCTTTCTTTTTCATTTAGTTATTGGTTTGTTGTTGAATAAGTTTTCTTTTTGCATGATACAGATATCAAATTTTTGGTACAACAGTGTTAGTTGCATTTTTTTCTTTTTCTTTCCTTCTTTTTTTTTTTTTTTTTTTTTTTTTTGTTTCAAGACAGGGTTTTTCTGTAACTTTGAAGCCTGTCCTGGAACTTGCTCTTGTAGACCAGGCTGGCTTCGAACTCAGAGATCTGTCTGCTTCTGGCTCCCAAGTACTGGGATTAAAGGCGTGCACCACCAATGCCCCGTACATTTTTTTCTTCACTATCACCACTTTCAGAGCAATGATTAAAAATTTTAATGACGTTTTACATTTTTTTAATAGTGCTTGTACTTGATCTCAGCCAAAAGGCTGAGAAGTAACATACTGTACTTGTACTTCTGATATCATTTCTAAGAATTCAAGTCATAGAGATCTCTGTTTCTGCCTAGAAGTTCAGTAATTTGACATTTAGGCCTATAATCCATTTCAGTGAAGATCTGTGTGGTGTGACAGATGTTTGTGGGTGATAGTTTATTACATATGAATGTTTGATTTTCTAGTGTCAGGACTCTCTCTCTGTTTGTATTCAGGCATTTGCACACCAGAGGGTTACTTGTTCTTTTCTTCCACCATAATCCCGAAGATGAGTTTAGGTGGTCAGTTTTGGTCATCAGGCTTGGTCACAGACACTGTGACCCACTGAGCCATCTCACTGGCCCAGGTACCGTATAAATTCTCACCTTGGTTCTATTTTCTTTGTTGTTTTGTTTTGGTCCTTGTATTTCCTATCCCTTTTCCTATAGGTTTCAGAATAGACTTGATATTTTGTTTGGGTTTGACAGGGATTGCATTGCATCTGTTAAAACCAGTTGGGGAAGAACTGATAGCCGTACTGTACTGTCCTTCAGTTCTTTACTGTGACTCTTCTCCATGCAGTAGGCCTTTGGTTCCCTTCATTGGTGCTTTGTAATTTTCAGCATGCTAATGTTGTGTCTAACTTGATAGATTTATATTTAAGCATATTATTTTTTGTTGTTATAGAGCGTATTTAAAATCAGTTCCTAGCTGTTCATTGCAAACAGAAATACAGGTGACTATTTTAACCTATATTCTGCATCCTTGCTAAACTCATTAATTTGTTTTTAGAGCTTTGTCATGGATGTCATGGGGTTTTATGCATAGAGAATCATGTCTACAAATAGAAAATTTAACTCTTTCTAATTCTTTTTAGGAGTGGGGGGAGGGGGAGAGGGGTGGGAGGAGGGGGAGGGAGGTGGGAGGCTGGGAGGAGGAGGAAATTTGTTTTTTTTTTCTCTTTTCTCAATAAAAAAAAAGTTAAAAAAAAAGATTTATTTTATGTGTTTTGCCTGCATGTGTATCTGTGTACCATGTGCATGCAATGGCCATGAAGGTCAGAAGAGGGCATCAGATCTCCCTGGAACTGGAGTTCGTATGGTTATGAGCCGCCATATAGGTGCTGGGAATTGAACCCCAGTCCTCTGGAAAAGCAGTCACCTCTTAGTCACTGCATCATCTCTCTAACCTGGAGTCTTAATTCTTTCTTTATTCTTTGCAGTGCTATGCTGTACTATCAGGACTTCAGTGTGGTAGTGTCTTACAGTAGTGGAAACCCAGACAGTGTTGTTCTTAGGTCCTTCTCTGTAGGATGAGGGTGGGAGCCATCAGTTTGTAGTTGTCTTTTTTTCAGGCTTGGGAAATTTCTTCATCAATGAATATTAAATTTTGTCAGGTGATGCTTCTATGTTTATTAATGTGATTTATGCTTTCTC